ACATACCATCTATATTTAAGATTACAGATTATATGTATTAGACAGGTATCAATTCCTGGGTGAAGGCAGGATTAAAATTTCAGTGGTTCTGCTTCTTGACTGCGAGCTTTAATCCCTCCTAAAATACACAAACAAACATGGAAACCTCCTCCTGCCAACTGCACACCAAACCTCCCAGGCAATATGAATCAGAGCAGCATGAGGAGAAAAAAAAAATCAGCTTTATCCATTCCCATTCTACTTACCTGGGCCACCATGTGCTGTTCCTACAGCATTCCAGCTTCCTCCTGCTCACAGGGATWTTTTGTACCCAAAATCAGCTCCCAAGCTTGGTTTATTTGCAACACTTGAGAACAACTTWGAGCAGCTTAAACACTTCAGACCTCCTCCCTCAAACTCTGTCCAGCTCCARTAGCTGGGGCCAATTAAAAAGATTCCTTAAGAAGCTTTTGATGTGCTGTTATCAAGTGTGTATTACACCAGGATTTTCACAGTATTTTAGGGAGTATCAGCTTTGGATGCCTCTGCCTCACCTGCTGGCAGGAGGAAGGGAGGATTGCCAAGGCAGGGATTTGGAGCAGCAGGGATTCTCACACTGGCACTCTCTAGTTGGAACTGTGCAGCTTTCAGTCCTTCTCAGAATGGTTTCGGAGAAGGAAAAAAGTGGAACAGCCTCTTCAGGACTTCAGAATGGTTTTAACAGCTCCTAATGATGAAGGAAAAGAAGCTGGAAAAAAATAAGAATATTAGAAAGTAATGAAATCTCCAGTATCCCAGGAATAATAAATAGTCATGATGGAGAGCAATGTCTCTCTCCTTTTTTTCTTTTTCTCTTTTTGTATGGAGACAGAGGCGAACAAGGGAGTGTTTGTTTCTTGATTCCTCTTCTAGGAAGCACAACTGGCTCGTGCCTCCCGTGTTTCCTGCGCAGCCAGGGCTGCCAGATCAGCTCCTGCTGGGCGAGGAGCGATYCTGTCTGAGGAGCAACAGGGGACAGGAGGAAAGCACTGAGATGTGCAGCACTGGCTGCAGGATTTTCAGCTTTCACATCAACACAAACAGCAAACAGAGTTAGGCATGGAGTGYTCTTCACTGCCACAGGCTTCCATGGGGGAGTTCTGCAAGCAGGATAATTGCAGCGGTGTGAACAGCTTTGATTAGGAATTTCTGAAAGAGCCTTTTGATGTTATTGGTGATTTCTGCATGCAGGTTTTTCTCTGCTGAGAATAAACAATGAGAAAGCACAGCTGAAGTTTCCAGTGTCTTCCTATGAGATGGGTTCAGCTGGAATCAGCACCAGCCCCAAGCCTGTGTGGGAAAAGGCTCTGTACAAATATCAAACAATCCATCATCATAAGGGGAAAACAGCAAACGAGACTTGCTGTGTCTGGTGACAGCAGGAGCAAAGACAAACAGGATTCAGGCTCGTAAAGATTCAAGGAACAGCTGAGAGAAAAGCAGCCAGAACGACCTGACATTTCCCTCTCCTTGTTACAACTCCAAAAGCCAYGAGGGCATCCAGGTTTTACAAGACGCAGCCAGTCTCCCTCTTCCTTCCAGATCCTGCTGATTCTCCAGATCAGTGGTTTGTTTTGTTTTTTTTTGTTTTTTTTTAAATCTAGTCAGTTTGTGAATCACATACGAAGTTTCACAGCTCTGCTCTCTTTAAAGCATCATAGACTCAGGTTTACCTTTGAACAGCCAAGTGGGGCTGTGGGAATCCATCCAGCCACCAGCCTGAAGCTGAATCTGTGCATCCTGGAGGAATCCACAAACCCACGAGTGCAGCAGTGCATCATCTTCATGCAGTGACAGCAGCAGTGGGGACAACTGCAGCTCCAGCACTGGAGCTGGCCCTTGGCTCACACGGCTCCAAGGCAAGGATTTTCCAGACCAGGCACCTGAAATGGCAGCAAAGGGGTGACTGGGCAGACTGAGGCAGACAGCACTGCCATGGAAACCTTTTGCTGGCTCCACTCAAGCCTTTGCCTYCACATTCAAGCATCAAGATGATGAAGATGAGGCCATTCCTCCTCTCCCTGCAGCTCTTATGCTTTGTCCCCGCGGTGGCTCTGGCACCTSGAGCTGGTCACAGGTTGAGAACAGGGACTGCACACTCTTCAAGGCAAGGACTGCTCCTCTGCTCAGTCCTCAGCATGCCMAGCAAGTGCTTTTCAGGTCTGTACAACAACCACTACCTTTCCTGTTTCTTCTTATTCTTGGCACAAAGGCACCTGAATTGCTTCCAACTGAGGCTGAAAGCATTTGAGCRTCTGTTTGCACATGGGGTTTGCTAAAGTGACCTCTATTTGTAACACACACTTCCCCCAGCATACATAAAAGTATCCAAATGCTTTTTCATTTAGGAACGGCCCTCCTATTCCCAGGAAAAAGATTTTGTCYCCTTTGCATTTTATCCGTTGCTTTGTTTTCAAATTTCAATTTCATATTTGAGCAGTTACATCACACATCCACATCTCGGGTGGTGRAGGAAACACAAACTAGAAAGAGCACAGTAATTCACAATCAACTTGTTTCTTAGGCAGAGGACCAAAACACTGCTTTGCAAAATACCAGTATTTTTATGCTTGAAAAATACAATTAGCCTCTCAATTACAATTTATTAAATTTACTCCTGGGATTTCRTTAACGCAAGACAGGCGAAGGAACTCCCAAGGGCTCTCACTAAACCCTCTGCACTAAGCCTTGCTACTCCTGCAACTACAGAAAGGGGGAAAATTATAGTTCCAGGGACCAAAAAACCAAATTCTGCAGACACATCTGCCACAGCCTCCCCACCACACTGTGATTCCCGGGGAACAAACTGGATTTACTCGCTTGCCCAAGGTTTTCCATGGCAGAACCTGTGTTTGCAGAAGTGGGTGTTTGAGAACGAGCCACACACACTGAGGAGCTGCTCCAAACAACAGGACTCTCCACTTTTTCTGAATACTGGCATCTCCCAAAAAAGAGAGCTTTCAGATTTAATTAGATTTTACTATTTTATTTGTGAAAAAACTACAAGCAGAATTCATAAATAGACATTTCTATTTAAAGCAGGAAAATTATAAAGTGGCTTCTAATAACAGTCGTGCACATGCCAGTAACAGGAATATATTAACATCTTTTATTTGCTAGACAAAGAGCAGTGTCCAATATAAATTTCCCAAAAACATTTAAGACCTGTGAATTTCTGACCAGTTCACAAAACCACCATTGACACTTTAGCATGAAGATTAAAACAAACCTAACAGGACTGTCAGCTCTAAAGACTTTACAGAGCGGAAAAACTTTCAGAAGCGTTATACAAGCTGTCTTTCTGGGCAAATGAAAAATAGAGCTCGTATAATACATTAACATAAAAATCCACAAGATAAGATTATGTTTTGACATACTTAAACAAGCATTCTATATTTGTCTCCAACAAACAAAGCTAAGGAAATAATGTAACCATCTTTACACAGTAAATTAAGGTTACAAGTCATACACAAGAACAGAACTGCTTGCGCATTAAAAACTGTTCAGCTCCATTGTCATACTCTAAATGTTGGCTCTTAAAACCATTCGGTTACATACAAGCAAAGGTTATTATATAGTCAGCAATTAATAAATTTTCAATAATTTAAGTTTATGGTAGAGCTTAAAAAAGTAGACTGAGAATGATCTTGGTAAGGCAGGTGAAAACATCTCAGTGGAAATAAACTCASAGAAGCTGCTGCCAAATTTTCAATCTGTCCAATTTGAAGCAAAGTTCCAATTGAAATTAATAGCCTGGTGGTGTAAAACGCTGTCACCTTTCCTTTGCAGAACTACGTCAACTGAGCGAGTCAGGCAAGCTGTGTCGGTGTCTGTGTGTGTGTGTGTCTGTGTAAGAGTCGAAACTTCGCCATCGTAACACTGTGCTTCACTTACCTGCGTTCTGTGCCACTGAACACCGTSAATCTGGTCCTTCCCTACACTAGTGTTTGGTTGGTTTGGTTCTGGAACACCTTCCCCACCAAGGGCGGGCTGGCCCACGGCCACGGCGCCGAGGGAACCCCACCTGCGCTGCYGCAGGGACGCCAACTTGGGAAATTAAGCGTGAAAGCAAAACGCTGTCCTTCAAACCCACAACACAACAGCTACGGATGAGGCTGGGGGGTTCAATGCTTAGTTAGCACTTCCTAACTGAGTGCAGAATTACAGGTCACTTGTTCCAAAGAAATTTTCCCATTTTATTTATAGTAAGCTACTTCAAKGAGGAGGCACGCCAAAGGGACAGATGTTACCGACTTCACCACGAGTAGCTGGGTACGGCGTTAAAGCTTTTTAACTGATCTACAGGTCTAGTTTCACTTGAAAAAGAAGCCATTTCCTGGTACACACAATGCTTTTTTTCTTTTTTTTTTCTTTTTTTGCACAAATTCCCAGATCCAACGAAGAAGGTGAGCATGTGGTTTGATTTGAAGCACCAGAACGAGCCCTGCTGAGGCCAGCAGGACCTGCCACTCGCTCACCYTCTTGGCTGGATCACGGCCGAGATGCACGCAAGCCTAATTGATAATGGATCATTTATAAAGCAGTGCAAAATATACAAGTTCAGGGGCATCTTCAAAAAATCTCTCTTAAAAAATTATTCCAATACATTTCAGTAAAATAAATAAATATGGCTGACCAGTTTACCCTCCCTGAGACCCTTAAAGGAATAGTAAAAACTGGAAAAGGAATGTCTTTGCAATATCCCACTAATGTTAAAATGTGGATTGAGATATTCATAGTATTTAAAACTA